GCTTTTTGTATGATTCTGTCTTGCATTGTCTTTCCTAGGACTCTCGTCATGTTCTCAAATGCAGTGCTTCAGAAAATACTGCTGGTGTTGACATCTCTTTTAGTCATTGCCTGGATAACTTCTATAATTTCTCAAAACTCCACAAAGGTATGAACAATTTTCTCCAGTTTGGTTTGAAACCTCCATCTGTAACTCTGTCAACTGAGAACCTGTAAATCAGTCCTTGCTCTTCCCTCCACTCCAACTCTGCTCTCTTCTCTCCTTCTCTACCTCATTTCAGAGGGACATTGTCTGCATTTTCTTTCTCCATTTTCCATTCATCCTCAATCCAGTCCAATCAGATTCTACCTCATACATGCCCCAAAATGGTTCTTGTGAAGGCCACTAGCTTCCCCGTGATTCTGAGTACTTGTCACCAAATCAGGTGCATATATTTCTTCCAGTTTGCTATTTTTCTTTTTATTTTGTCTATGATTTATTTTTCATGCAAAAGTTATTTTTTAGTAAAACAGTTTCCTTTGTTGTTTTTGGTATTTTTTTTCTTTTTTTGGTTCTGGGGATTGAACCCAGGGGCACTTAACCACTGAGGCACATCCCCAGCCATTTTTAGTATGTTATTTAGAGACAGGGTCTAGCTGAGTTACTTAGGGCCTCATTAAGTTGCTGAGGCTTGATTTGAATTTGCAATCCTCCTGCCTCAGCCTCCTCAGCTGCTGAGGTTACAGTTATGCATCACTGTGCCTGGCTGTGTCTGGTAAATTTTAGTCAGAAGATTTCCTACTACAAGCTTATATTCGAATCTACCCATGTTTTCTTATATTTTTATTTTGCATGATTCTATTGTTTGTTTCTAAACATATGATTCACTTCAAGTTTGCTGTGAAATTGTATGTGATATTGACCTAATTTTATTCTTCCTTATGGCTATCAAGTTATTTTATTCCTCTTAGTAAAATTAAATTTAACCCCCCCTCGATTGGGTGCAGCCTCTATAATATACTAAATTTCTGTATGTAATAAGGTCTATTTTGATTCTTTATTCTGTTCCAGTTTTTATTCATATCCCAATTCTACTCTATTGTACTTAGACTTTAGAAGTAAACATTACTATCTAATAGGGCCCACCTTAGCACACACATCATCCCTGATATCTATTTCCCCATATTTTTCTGGCTATTCTTTCTTACTTATTCTTTCAAGTAAACTTTCTAATTGACCTTTCTGATCCAGAAAATACTCAGGATATTTTTATTCCATTGAATACATAAATTAACTTTACAAGAAATAATAGCTTCATGATGTTTTCTATCTAATAACATAGTTCCCCTTCCAGTTGCTCAGTTTGTTTCCTGAGCCAGGCACTGTGGCACACACCTGTAATCACAGTGGCTGGGAAGGCTGAGTCAGTAGGATTGTGAGTTCAAAGCCAGCCTCAGCAAAAAACAAGGTGCTAAGCAACCTAGTGAGACCCTATCTCTAAATAAAATACAAAATAGGGCTGATATGTGGCTCGGTAGTCAAGTGCCCCTGAGTTCAATCCCCATTACCAAAAAAAAATTATTTTATATACATATATATATTATATATTTTTTCTCGTATAATTTCCTCATGTAAATATTGGACACATGTGAAATATATAACTGAATATCTCAGTGTCATTTGGCAACCATATACCAGACCATTTGTTTCATTTGACCCTATCTGTAGTTGTGTCTGCACATGTGAAAGCTACTGATTTTTATACATTAAATGTATTACCTAACTTTTTGCTCAGTCTTTCTATTGTCTGTAGCCATTCTTCCATTTCTACTTTGAGGTTTTCCATAAAAATATCCCCTGCATCTGAAAAGAAAGACTATTTTACCTCCTTTTTCCCAGTTCCAATGACTTATTTGCTTTCCCTTGCCAAGTAACATTTAGCGAATTCCTCCAGCCCAATATTAAATAGTAGTAGAATGTGGACAATTTACTTGTCTCATGCCTCATTTGGTGGCAAAGCCTCTCCTGTTACCTTTTAAGTAAAATATTAATAGAATATCTTATGGGTGGAATATGTAAATTTATTTTTGTTGAGTGTTTTATAACAAAATTGTGCTAAGTTATTTGTAGTAATATCCTTTTGCTCCAGTTACTACTATAAGGCAATTAATAAGCAAATACTACTTTTCACCTCTCTTTCTACTGTTCAGCTATTTTCATGGTGGTATTGCCTCTATAATCTCAGAGTACAGAGCCATTGCATAAATATTCTATTCCTTGTAAGCATCAATTAGAATTATTCCTGTAAGCTAATAGATATTTAGTTCTTACCACAAACACATATATCAAACTTTACAGTTATTCTCATTGCTTAAAGTTCAGTCTGATTTAATAGGTTCTTTAGAAGGATTCAGAAAAAAATAGTATCCTATAGTTCAAAAAATTTGTCTTTGATAATTATCACAAAGGTCAATTTGTCTAATTTTATTTTAAAATTCCTGCCTCATGTTTCTTTCTTTGCATTCCTTAAATATTTTACTCCAGTGAATTTTAGCTTAAAATTAATGAGTAAAGAAAATAAAAATTTAAGAAAAAACACAAATAACTATAAAGTGGTATGCTAAACAAGGAAAAATCTACAAAATAAAATAAAATCATCATACATTTGGATGAACCTAGCAAAATACCCACACATTAAAATTAGAACATTCAGAGTTACAAGCTAAACTTGATATGTCACAGAGATAGTAGGTAATTTATTATACCTAGTTCAGAAACTTATAAATCAGACTCCAAAATTAGTAAATATCTATAAGGTCGGAAAACAATAAAAAAAATGATCTAACACAAACCCATACGGGAAGGGAGGTAGTTTAAATAGTGAATTAAAAGGTATATTTTTATTTAGATATTGTTTGGTTCTGTTGTAAAATTCATTTGTTTCTTTAAAATAGTTTCTCCGTATTGCTGATATTTCCTATCTTTCCATCCATTACCTCATTTAGCAGTTATAATACCAATTTCAAAGACCTTGTCTGATAATTCTAATATATTTTCTCCATGTTTGTTTCCATCAGTTGTCTCCTCCTTTGAGAAATAGTGCATGTTTCTGCTTCCTTCTATGCTGAATAAAATTTAATTGTATACTAAAACTTTAACTGTTATATTGTGGGACTGTAAATTCTGTTTTACTCCTTAGGAGTGTATTAATATTTTTGAAGTGGCCAATGATTAACTTAATTCAAATTGAACTGCAAACTATCTCATCTGTGATTAAAAGTGATTCAAACCTTAATTAATGAGTTATTTATATGATCAAAGTTGACATTAGGGTTGTTTATACTATACCATGTCAAGATGAAGAAAATTCTGGTTGAATCTTGGTTTGGATGTCATTGGAGTTTGGACACTTAGCAGATGCCCATCAGACTTTGGCTGTGGATCTTTCCTGTGTTGCAGGGGTGCAGGAGCCACTTCCCTAGTTGCTATGAAATTCCCACCAGCAGCTTCTGCTTTGTCAGCACACACACACACCCCTCTAAACTATCTTGTATTTACATATATTTATATAAATATGCATCTGAGGAGAAAAAGACAATTTAAAGGCCATGTTGATGAGTGAAAACTTTCACTTTTCCTATATTGCTGTTATCAAGTTTTAGTGTAAGGTGTTTCCTCATTATATAAGTTAATAATATTTGTACTCACAAATAAAAATTGTTCAGCCTGTGAATTTAGGAGGTGGGCAAAATGGAAAAAAATGTTTTCATCATCTTTATATTGTTATTAGTATTATATATACTGTATAGTTATTTTCTATCCCCCTTCTCTATTCGTAGTGTGTGTACTAAGATTTATGCTTTCATAAAACACAGACATACAAGAAAGGATTCTTATTTAAATTTCATATATTTGCATCTCTCACTATTTCTTTTTTTTAAAGAAAGAGAGAGAAGAGAGAGTTTTTTAATATTTATTTTTCAGTTTTCACTGGACACAACATCTTTATTTTTATTTTTATATGGGGCTGAGGATCAAACCCAGCGCTCCACGCATGCCAGGCAAGTGCGTTACCGCTTGAACCACATCCCCAGCCCTCTCACTATTTCTTACTTGGCTTAACTAAAGGTTTCTCAGTTCTCTAAGTTTTCCCAAAGATTGCACTTAGATTTTCTTCATCTATTTTTTAGTTATATCTCATTTCTTGGTTTCCAGTCTCTTTTGGTTTACTATGCCACTGTGATACCAACCACCAGGGTTTTACTGATTGAGGGTGGGCCACAGAGTATTCAGGAAAGGATTTTTTGTACTCCTGAGATTTGAGAGCTACATATGTTCTTACATGTGAGGCAGTTGACAATCACTGATCTATAACCAGTGTTCTCAAGCTTATCTGAACACAGGATGTCTGTGAAGTGTTTGAAAACCGCATACTTCAGGATTGCAATTTAGTGACTATGGTTCAGTTGACCTGGACTGCAGCCTCAGAATCCATGTTTTGAGAAAAGCTTGGCATTTGCTTCTGATTATCAACAACATTCAGAAACCACTGAATTTGAGCACCTCTAGAACACTGTACAGTGACAACTAAGGTTGTTGGGATTTCTAAATAAGAAGTTAACAGGTGTTTAGGTTGTTTGGAGAAAAGAAGAAGGTAGCCACCAATGCAGAAATTGGAGAAAGTGTTAGTAAAATGCAAGATGTACAAAAAAGGAAGGTCATCTCCTAAAAAGAAAAGCAGTTAGTCTTGTCAAAATAGAGTGCACAGGACAAAGTGCAGAACTAGGCTGGAAAGACAGACCAGAGCATAAAGCCCTGTTAAAATTGGATTTTATCCCAAGAATCATGAAAAGACATTAAAGGGATTTAAGGAGTAGAGTTTTGCTTTCAAAGGGCTGATAAACTACAAGGGGGAAAACTGAAGGGAGAGAAAACAGGACTGTCCTCATGAAGCCTGAGAACCACTTCCCAGTAGAGGAGGAAACTACAATCCAGGAGAAAAAATGGTGGCAGCTAGAACCATGATAAGCTGGGGAGGAAAAGATGGTTACACATGGGTAAAAGTATACTGAGGAGGAACTAAGAAATGAGCTATTGGGAGTAGGGTGTATCTGAAAAGGAAGAACAAGCGAACCAGCATCATCTTCTTACTCATATGTATTATTTGAGATATAAATCTAATATTGAGTATGTTAATTTATAATTGCTCAGACATTCTCCAAAATATTGATGTAAAAATATGATTTTTTAATTTATGCAGAATTGTCAGAAATTTTAAATGATATGGATGATAATAGGTGAACTCAAATTCATTATAAGTAAAATTTTAAAAAAATTACTGGGAACAGGTTTATTGAATAGTATGTCCTGTTTGTTATCATTTCAGCTTTGGTCTGCTATAAATGTACCCATCAGCTTTTATCACTGGAACATCTCCACAAACTGTTCATGTTCTGAAATAAAAATGAGCCCTGTAAACACACCAACAGAAACTGAGCTGAGAATAAGGAAGATTCTGAAAACACTAAACCAGCTGATCCCACCCAGACCCTTCACCCATGAGGACACCACCACCAGTGCCACACACAGCACAGTCACCCTCCTCAACCCTAGAAACACATACTGCAGGGGGGACCAGCTAGACATCCTGCTGGAGGCCAGGGACCACCTGGGACACAGAAAGGAATATGGAGGGGACTTTTTGAGGGCCAGGATGTCCTCCCCAGGCCTGAAGGCAGGCGCCTCAGGAAAGGTGACAGACTTCAACAATGGCACCTACCTTGTCAGCTTCACTCTGTTCTGGGAGGGTCAGGTCTCCCTGTCTCTCCTGCTTATCCACCCCAGTGAAGGGGTGTCGGCTCTCTGGAGGGCAAGGAACCAAGGCTATGATAAAATTATTTTCAAAGGTAAATTTGTTAATGGCACCTCCCAAGTCTTCACTGAATGTGGCCTGACCCTAAACTCTAGCTCTGAACTGTGCACCTACCTGTATGGGATAGACCAGGAAGCCTTCTACTGCAAGAAGCCTCAACACATGCCCTGTGAGGCCCTGACCTATATGTCCTCCAGGAACCGAGAAATTTCTTATCTTTCAGTCAAGGAAAAAAGCCTTTTCCATAAGTGAGTATAATTTTTAATACAATAAGAGCTATTGGGATTAGGGTCATACATAGCTGTCTCAATATTGATCCTCTCAGATACTTCCTCCACTCAAAGTTATAGTCATATATGTGATGTGATATTTTCATGGCATCCCTGTTTATGAATCAACACCATAGTTTGCATTTTGATTGATACAGTCACAAAAGATGGTTACACAGAAAGAATTCAATAATATACATGCATTTACATCTCTGTATTAATAAGGATTGTTACTATAGATATACATTTTACAAAATACACTCTGTGGAAAACTATTTTGCTATGTGTTCATAGATGTTCCACATTGGGGAAAAAAGATTCCTTGTAAATATATAAAAAAAAAAGTCATGCTACTTTACCTTCCATATTGTATCCCACAGATTCTGCCTCTTAAATGTCTTTATTGTTCATTCCTCTCCATGCCCAGTGCTGCTATCCAAGTAGAGATCACTACTACCTCATTTGCATGACTGAAATGGGTTCCCACCTGGTCTCCCTTCCATCACCCATCATACCCTCCTTACACTGCAGCCTGAGCAACTTTTCTAAAAGGCCATCTCCTAAGGTGCATGGGCTCTTTCTTGTCCAGGGAGGAGATCCACAGAACAGGGTAGAGGAGAGTGCGGCTATCCTGGTCTATAGTGCATGGCTTACTTCTGAACAAATAAAAGCACAGTTGGTTTTCTTTTCTTCCTTTTTGTCTCCAATGTGCAACTCACCACATCTCTTCCTCCCCATTAACCATCCTGATGGCTGAACCCCACTCAGGATCACTTACCATTTCATGGGATTGGATCTAAAGAGACATCCATAGCATAGAACAGGGTACAACTTATATCTGTTGTATATATGTTGTATTAGGCACCTGAGTCTTCATTGTTCCCTTGACCCCTTCCTGCCTGCCTCCATTTACACACAGTTATACACAGGAGATAAGCAGTAGGGCTGAAAGTAGGAAGATTCTGGTAGGCTTTCATCAAGTGGAGGAAAGAATCAGTGTACAAATAGAGTGTGCATTTATTTATTCATGCATCAGGTTGAACATTACTTTCTGCCAGTCACATTGATGGATATTTAGGGTACAACAGTGCATACATATGAATACATTACCTTTCTTCACATGATCCTCATGAAGCACATATTGCAGGACAAACTGAAGGTAAAAGCAGGAAACATGCTTAAGGAGGAAAACAGGGGCTCTGTGATGAGGGGTCTTGGTGCCATGACAAGGAGCCTGGACTCCTTAGGTAAGTGATGCAAACCCAGTCAAGGGCTTTAAACAATAACGCAGTTGCATTTGCCATTGGAAACTGTGCTCTGGAGGGTGTGTTAAAGAAATTAGGTGGGATAAAACTTAGGTTGGCCAACTAGAGGCTCACAATAAGTCAATAAAAATATTTTGTAAACTTGAATGGGTGATATGGAAGAGGATAAAGAACTTGCAGATTTGATACACATTATGAATCTAAGATTCTAGGACATACTATTGCATATCGCAGATGAGAAGAGCTGCCCCAGACTTCAGATACTCTCCACAAGATAGAAAGACTTCCAAAACCTAATTTACTTATAATACCCAGTATTCTCAAAATTTATAATAAAAATAATAGTTTCAATTATTAAAAAATTAAAAATTATCCTTTACTTGCAAGGAGGTGATTTATGTGGCCTGCGCTGTGTGAAAACACAACAGGCTAATCTATGATCTTATTTTTTGAAGGTCCAAAGTGGGAGTTGAAATGATGAAAGACCTTAAAAATATTGATGTCTCCCATTGCAACAGTAAGTCTGCTTTTTTTCTGTGGTAGATGCATGTGTCATGTGTCTTATGCAGAGAAAAGTTATCAGTGTTAACTCTATTAGTTATAGATTTCCAGCAACATGATTCTTAGCAGGTGTCTGTGATCTCAGTCTTTTTGAACATTATAGAAGAAATCAACTCAAGGAAATTAGTTTAAACTTTGTTTATAGCAGATTTCTTCTTGACTTATCCTAAAGGAGAAAATCTTAGTATCCTACATTCATCTCCTAGAGTCTGAGGTGCTGTGCAGATGGGTACCCATGGCTTCAGAGCAGGAACACTCTGGCTTTGGTTTCCTCATCTCTGTTGACATAATTCCAGCTTTTAGTTAGTTCACTTAGCAATTTCATATGAAGTTTCTATCTTATTAATTGTTTCAACAGCAGATACAAAGCAACGTTACACGTGAAAGAATAATATTTATGCTTATTTATACCTTAGCTTTATTTTTTAAATTTTTTACACATTGATGGACTTTTCTTTTATTCATATATTTGTATGTGGTGCTTAGAATCGAACCCAGTGCCTCACACATGCTAGGCAAGTGCTCTACCACTAAGCCACAGCTCCAGCCCCTATACCTTAGCTTTAAATAATTATATATAAAGCCTGTGATTGGTAAACTTGAAAACTCATGATTTATTTCTTATATTTATTCATTTTTTCATACAAGGCATTTTGACTCAACTAAGTAAAATTAATACATAGTACGTTTATGATCTAAAAAAATTTAATCTGGGGCTGGGGTTGTGACTCAGCAGTACAGTGCTCACCTTGCCCGTGCGAGGTCCTGGATTTGATCCTCAGCACCACATAAAAATAAATAAATAAAATAAAGGTATTGTGTCCAACTACCACTAAAAAGTATTTTAAAAAATTTAATCTACCAACTCTGTGAAGAAAGCAAAACGCAGAAGGAGTTTATGTTAAAGTTCATATTTGAGTAAGCCCTGAAGAATATCTGTAGTCAGAGAATGAGGTAAAAGTGAAATCACATAAAGATCATGGTAGAATTGTCAGATGTAAGAAAATAATATAAAAACATCAGCTAATTTTGAGTACTTTCTAGTTGCCTATGTATTTATATATTGAGATAAAGAAAACTTTGAATCATACACTTAAAAAAGCCTTCCTGCTAGAAGTTATTTAATTGTCTTTCCTGGATTCTTTCACGTGGTAAGGTGTTTTTTTTTAATATTTTTTATTTGTCAATGGACCTTTATTTAATTAATTTATTTATGTATTGTATGTGGTGCTGAGGATCGAACCCCGTGCCTCACAATGCTAAGCCAGCAGTTTGCCACTGAGCCCCAGCCCCAGCCCCAGCCCCAGCCCCAGGTGTTTTTTTTTTTTTATCCATTCATGACCAAAATTATCTGGACCCTGTTGGGCCTAGAAAATAGGAAGAAGCCAAATTATGGAAATTCTCAAGGGCATGCTGTAGATTTCAGTGTTTATTTGGTAAACTTTTGAAAACTCCAGAGATCCACTGAGGAAGAGAGTGGTATGCTCCCCTTTATACTTCAAAAGGCAAATTCACAAGTGAACAAAATAAGTATGAACTACATAAAGAGAATTTAAATTGTTACTAAGGGACATAAAATAAAATTTATACATGGAAGAAAATATGATATTTCTGGATGGGATGAGTTCATATTTAAAGGATATCAATTTTCTCTGCATTAATTTCTTCTTGCTGCTACGACCAAGTGGCTTTTAATAAAATGAACATATTCTCTTAGTGTTATTCTTCCAACACCCAATATCAGTCTCACCAAGTGAGTCAAGATAGAGAAAACCTGTATTCTTTTCTGGAGGTCTATGGAAGAAGCTGTTTCTTTGCCTTTGGGGCTTCTAAAACATGCCCTCCTTATTTGTAACTAAAAAAATCAAAACAACAACAACAACAAATAAAACTAAGATCTTCCTTATCAAAACCACAACAATGAGTCAGTTACTCAGGTAACATGTTTCTGGCCTACCTTCTGCCTCCCTCTTTCAATTTAGAGGATCAATGAAATTAGACTGAACCCCTTCCCCTAGATAATCCAGGATTGTCCCCTCTCAGAGTCTATACACTTAGTCAATCTGGAAAATATTTCTGTCATACAAGGCAACATATTCACAGGATTGAGGAATTAGGACCTGAATATAATGGGGAGCCACAGTCTGCCTACTATAATCTCTAAACCAAAAGGTGAGCAAAATTAACCACAAAATATTGAGCCTATTCTAAAATAAAATTATGTAATAATCATAAGGAAATAAATTCTCTGGCATGTAAATATTATACAGGATACGCTTTTCAATAATAAGCTCAAAGGCTATCATCTTGAATATGCCAGTACATTACTGGGATGGGGAATACTTGGTAATTGTGGGTGTTGAGTTTTTAGGCTTATGATATTCAAGCATCCATGATGCAGTGTTATTGAGCTTCCTACAAGAGCAACTATGTCACAGTAAAATATCAACATGATTATAGGATTAGGAAAACTACCTTTGGCAAGAAAAATCACAAGATTTAATAGCTCTTCCAGTTTCATTTTCTAATTCTGCCACCAGCACCATTTTACCACTTTGTCCTCAAATTACAAATACATCTATCCGTTGATATTCATGGGGGGATGGGGGGGGTTGCCTGCAGGACCCACCAGGGACATCAAAATTGACACCAAGATGCTTACCCCTTATATATAATGGGATGATACATGGTATAAACTACAACATCTTCCCATATACTTTAAATCATCTCCAGAATACTTATATCACCCAATTCAACATCCATGCTATATAAATAGTTGCTATGCTATATTGTTTAGGGAAAAAAGGAGAGAAAAATCTGCATGTGTTTCGCAAGATAAAAAAAAAATTCCCAAATATTTTCCATCCATGGTGGGTTGAATCCATAGATACAGAACCCATGGATACAGTGGCTCAACTATATAGTACCAACATGTAAGGAAATACTATTTTGTGGACACAGGCAAACAGAGACTGCAATGCCTATGAGGAGCTAAAGAAGGAAGGTAAAGCAAAGACTGCTGGTAATCCCCAACTATCCATTCATTTCTCTCACTCCAGAAGAGAAACCATTAGTTTAGCTGAACCCCTGGCCACCTTTCCTTGTGGCTACTTATGGCCACATTACATTTTTTCTAGGAGTACAAATAGGAAAGGTATGGGAAATTTGTACGTAACACCTTTAAAGGCAAAACAGCTTGCCCTCCTCATCCATTTGGCTCCTTCTTACTGGCTGAACTATAAAAGGAAGTTCAGTGGTAATGTGCTGACCTAGCATGCAAAGGCTCAGGGTCCCATTCCACACACTGCAAAAAAAAAAAAAAAAAAATCAAAACAACAACCAATAAAACTAATGAGGCAATGGCTCAGCAGTGGTGCAGAAGCATAGAGCTTGGCAAGGAAGCATGATGTCAGACATCTGAGGACATTTGTTATAGCATGGCAGAGTTGGTGCTCTGCCACATGGGGTACCTTAGAAGACAAACCATTAGAGAGCCTGCCATTCTAGGAAAACAGGCTGCAATGGCTCAGAATATTGGTTTCTGTGGAATACTGCAAATCACCTTTAGCAAGGTCCTATTAAAAAAACAACAACATTAAGTCAAGGTAAATATTTTATACTATTGAAGGTTTCCAAATGTGTACATGTTATAATTTAAGCCTTTTTTTTAAACATGGCACACTTCACTGTTCCTTCATTGATGGAACAAATAAAAATGATTCAACAACAAAGACAACAGCTGGCAATCCAGTAACACAATTCAGAGTAGAGAACAGAAAAGTCACTATCATATCACAGGAATGGCAGAGAGAGAGAGAGAGAGAGAGAGAGAGAGAGAGAGAGAGAGAGAGAGAGAGAGAGAGAAGAAAGGACATCACAACTTAGCTAAGGAGCCCAGGTGGGAGAAAATGAATGGGAAGAGTCAGTATGACTCAAAATCTCTCAAAAGAATGAGTAGCAGAGCCTAAAACAAAGCCTGTGATAAAAAAAAATACCTCTAGTAAGACAGAAGACAAGACTGTAGGGAGAGAGAAAGAAATCAGGAAGGGAAGGACCAAGAAAGGACGCTGGTGTTTACACATGCCACTACCACCACTCACTACAGGATCTCTGCTCCCAGAGAGTGAAAAGAGCACAGAGAAATGCCAAATTGGAATGAAGATTCCTGTCCCTGGTGGATACACTTTACAAGGAAGGTGGATAACAACATTTTGTAACCAGATTCAACTAGATACAAATAACATCAATGGCTGCTTGAAAGGAAAAATCATTTACCTTCTGGGAGACTCCACAATATGTCAGTGGATCTACTACTTACCCAAAGTTGTAAAAAGTATGTACTTACTTTATATTCTTTTGGAAGTTCAGGCTGATCATAAAGTAGTTTCAGTGAGGTCTGTTCTCACTTGGGCTGGGTTTATTATTATTATTATTATTATTATTATTATTATTATTTCACTTAGCTTTCTAGAATGCAATCTTAATTTGAAATCTGTTTTATTACCTCTTTCATAAGAAATGTTGTTCCTCTTTATAAACTCCAATGAAAACTTCAGATTTTGTTTGACGTTTCACGCGTGTGAATTAGTAATTTATTCCAGATGTTAGAATGCTTTCGACAAAACTATATCAGGTGGATATTGTAAATGATATTGTGAATATTCTTTTAAAATGCACTGACATTACTTTTTAGTTAAAATCTGTTTTGTTTTGTTTTTTAATCAGCACTGAAGTTTTTTGATCTTCATGAAACTGGATCTTTTCCGAAGCGTTTGCTTCTGGATGCTGGAAGACATATTCAAATTCAATGGAAAAAACATGGCTTTCCTATTATCACTCATAATCTCTACTCTGTGACAGATGAAGCTTACATCCCTCGAGAAATTGACCTAATATCAGGGGATAAAAACACAGCCATTGTCATTACATTTGGCCACCACTTCAGACCCTTCCCCATTGACCTTTTCATTCGCAGGGCCATCAGTATTCGAAAAGCTATTGAACGACTATTCCTAAGAAACCCCGACACTAAAGTGATCATTAAGACAGAAAATATCAGGGAGATGCACGTAGAAACAGAGTGGTTTGGAGATTTCCATGGTTACATTCATTATCTTATCCTGAATGACATTTTCAAAGATCTCAATGTGGGTGTCATTGATGCCTGGGACATGACCATTGCATATGGCACCAATAATCTCCACCCACCTGATCATGTGATTCAAACTCAGATTAACATGTTCTTAAGCTACATTTGCTAAAGCATAAGTATAAAAAATTACTAAATACCAATTTTTACACCCCTTGTGTCGATGAAATTTTATTCATTTTAATTATTAAGAAAATCAAATTTAAAAGAATACCTATGGGATTATTTGTGGGACACTTACAGACAATAAGAATGGAGATGAGATGCAAATCCCAGAGTGTGAGATGTAAGGAATGATCATATCATGCCTGGAGCTTGTCTGTGTGTAAATAATAAATATTTTAGGCATGGTTGAGTATGATTTCTGTTACTCATGGCTGAACAGAGAGTAAAAGGGAATAAACATGTAATCGTCATGATGTTCTAAAACTGTCACCCTACTTTCTCTGTAAAGGTATAGAGAGTAAATATTTTGGAATCTGCAGACTATCCTGCCTCTTTCACAACTGCTCCACTCTGCACTGCAGTACAAAATCAGCCGCGGACAACATGTAAAGTGAGTGGGTTATATTTTAATAAAACTTTAAGAATGGACAAAGAAACTTGTTTCATATAATTGACACGTCAGGAAATAGTATTCTTCTTTTGATTCCCCCTCCACCCCAATTATTTAAACACTCAAAAAACATTTATAGATCACAGCTTCACCAAAAATGTAGTGGATATATTTAGCCCCTGGGCCTACTTTGATGGGGCCTGATTTAAAACAAACAAATTGGTAGAATTGATCAAAAATTCCTCCAAAGTTAAGGGAAAAACTAGTACAAACTAGAAATAGAAGAAAATTCCCATAAGTTGAGAAAATTGAATCTAATAGAAAACTATAAGCAACATCACTTTCTGAGTGAAACACAGCAAACATTCCTTACCAAGTCAGATAACAGAGCTGAGGACTTCTCACTAGCTCTATCTACCTGTGAACTGCAGTACTGTGGTGAGCCGCTTCTGCCGTTTCTGCAGATTATGGTCGCCATTACAAGATGACGCTGGCTCCGCTGTGGTCTGTGACAAACAACTCCTTATCTGGGAAAGTTGGCACATGATTTTTCACCACCCTGTGAGAAAGCTCCACGCGGCAGCTTTGCATTGGGGCTTGGGATGCTTTATTAAGGCTGGGAGGGGCATCAGAGAGGGAGAAGAAGAAATATCAAGGGCCTGAATAAACTGCTGAAAGAAGATTCCCGAGTTGCGTCTTCCTTGCAGGCAAGGGGTCGCGACACAGTACACCTCAGAAAAGAACAGACTCACTGCTCCCATTTCATCATTCCCTTAGGAAAAACAAAAAGCCTAGGTAGAAGAATTTAGAATGAGGAGCACCACAAGCTCAATATACAGAACCTAACAACTTCTCTAACAGTATAAACAGATATTAGATAAGAATTAAAATTGCATGGAATTTCTGTGTACATATTGTGCATATCTTTCATTGAATTTAATCCTACATTTTGTAACTTTTTACAATTCTACTATTGTATTTTTGTAACACATTTTATTTTTACAAATATGCACAAATCTTCAAAGTGCAGCTCACTAAATTATCAAAACTAAATACCTGTGTAACCCAGTGGTTTGGATTAAATGCATCAGAAGATATGCAAGAACACAACCCCATATCAAACTGAATGACTAAATAGTTCTACAGATAAAATAAAATTCTACAGATAAAATAAAATTTGTATTTAAAAGTCTTAAAAGATTATATTGTGCATCAGGTTGTATATAATTTGACAATATGATTCTAAAATTTCTAAAAATAAATGTACAGAGATAAAACTAATGAAGATACTTCTGAAAAAGAATAAAAGAACTTACTTTTCCAAACATCAAGAATTACCTTAAAGCTAGAATCTAACAGTGTGGCACTGGTGCAATGAAAAACCAAAGACCAATGAAACAGAATCAAGGAAGCAGAAGAGGCCCTGCCACATGGAGCAATGAGGAAAAGATAGTAAATTGCATAAGTGTTATGGGAAAATAGGATAACCATGTGTGAAAAATAAAACAAAATCAGAGCCCTACATTACACTATTCATAAAAAATAGATTAGTGTCCAGGGAGATCACAAACTAATGTAAAAAGGAAAAGAGTAGAGCTTATTAAAGTGTGCATCCCACACTATTGGTGCTAAAGTCATTTTCTTTAAAATACCTAAACTTTCCATGCCTGGTCCTAGTGCACATGACTGGTACACAGCTGGTTCACCTTCGACTCTCCACTTGAGTTTGACACCCATCAGGGAGCCTAGTTCACCCCTCACTGTCTTGCATTCCTCAGTAAGGCCATGTTCCTATATCTCTACATGTTTCCTAAATTCCTATACTTGTATCTCATGGACCAGCAAAAAACACTTCACAAATTCACCCAGCTCCTCACATCTCAATGTAATACAGTGAGAAAAGATTCTTAGACTGGTGAAAGTAACATAGAAAAATATCATGATAGAGTGTGCTATCTGAGACTGAGTTCAAAAAGCACTAATCAAAAGGGAAAACACTAGTCAATCTTAATATATTAAAATTAAGAATTACCTATTAAAAGATACCATTAAAAGAGTATGTGTAATACATAGAATAAAGGATTGTTTTCTGTTTCCAGACTGATAATGTGAAATCCAAATTAACAAATTGAAGTATGTATATAAATAATTTTACATCACCCCTAAATATTATAAAGCAAAAGATAAATGGCCAATAGAAAGAAACACTTGCAATCTATCCTAGACAATAAACTAATATGCTTAATATATAGGAAGCTCTTGATTAAAAAGATCCAGGGAGAAGTGCTGGAGAGTGATATTGGCTAAATTATATTGTTATTAGTGTGCATGTATGAGCATGTAACAACAAATCCCCTCGTTATGTACAATTTTCTTCAATGTTCTGTAGTTTTCATTGTAGAGGTCTTTCCCTTTCTTATTTAGTTTTATTCCTAGGTATTTTATGTTTTTTGGGACGATATTTTAAATAAAATTATTTTCCTGATTACTTTCTCAGCAGATTTATTATCGATATATAAGAAGTCTATTGATTTTTTATCCTGATTTTGTAACCTGTCACTTTGCTAAATTTGTATTTTAGCTCTAAGAGTCTTTCTGTGGAGGATTATGGATCTTTTCTATGAATAGAGTCATATCATTTGCAAATTTTAATAATTTGAGTTCTTCCTTTTCAATTTCTATCCATTTTAGTTCCCTTCTCTTGCCTAATTTTTCTGGCTAGAATTTCTAGCACTTTAACAAATAGGAATGATGAGAGTGCACATCCTTTACCTGCTTCAGATTGCAATGAAAATGCTTTCAGTTTTCCCCCATTTACTGTGAGATTTGCTTTGGGATTGTCATATATACCTTTTATGATGGTGAGGTAGGTTCCTTCTATCCCTAGTGTATTAAGTATTTTTTTTTTATCAAGAATGGGCAGTGAATTTTGTCTAAGGCCTTCTCTGCATCTATTGTGATGAATAAGTGATTTCTGTCCTTAATTCTATTTATGTGATTAATTACATTTATTGATATATGTCTATTGAACTATCCTTGCATCTCTGGGATAAAACCAACTTACTCATGATGTAAAATCTTCTTAATATGTTGTTGAGCATGAGTTTTTAACATTTTATTTTATCAAGAATTTTTGCATATAAATTAATTAGGAATACTGATCTATAGCTTTCTTTCCTTGATGTGTGCTCATCTGGTTTTGGTATGAGTGTGAAACTGACTTCATAGAATGAGTTTTGAAATGTTCCTTTCATTTCTATTTCATGGACCTATTTGAAGAGCATTGTCATTAGTTCTTCTTCAAAAGTCTGATAGAATTCAGGTGAGAATTCATCTGATCCTTGAATATTCTTTGTTGGAAGGCTTTTTATTACTGCTGCTCTCTCATTATATGTTATTGATATGTTTAGGTTTTATATTGTCATCTTTTTATATATTGGTTCTTTTTAGTTATACATGAATATAGTATTTATTTTGACATATGAAAGAAAGCATGGGATATAATTTTTTCTAATTCAAGTCTATTTTGGCAGATCATGTCTAGAAATGTATTTATTTCTTTTAGGTTTTCCATTTTCTGGAATATACATTTTCAAAATAGTCCCTAGTGATCTGCTGGATTTCTGTGATGCCTATGGTGATTTCTCCTTTTTCATCTCTAATTTTGTTAATTTGGGATTTTTTTCTTTTTTTATTAGGTCTGGCGAAGGGTTTAGTTTTATTGATCTTTTCAAAGAACCAACTCTTTTGTTTCATGATCTTTGTATTTTTTCCCTCAGTTTCATTGATTTAAGCACCAAAAGTTTATCGGCCCTGAGGAAGAGAAAATTGATACAACGATTTTTTTATTCCGTTTTTGTTTCATTCAGTTTCGGTTTTGTTTTGTGTTATCTTATTGGGTTGCGTTATCTTTATAGTAGATTATAAATTAGTAAAAAACAAACCGAAAAGATGTTAAGTAAATTGTTAGAGGTTCAGACCATGGAGAAAGACATTTTAGATCAAGCAAAAGAGAAGGTCTCTCGAGCTAGTCAGACAGAGGAAGAAAATTGAAAGGAAAAAGGGTTGTTAGGAAAAAGGCCACAACAGGAGGCTGTTACTAACTCCGTTTTATCACAAGAGGGCATAATTCAACCAACAGCCCCACCGATGGAGACAGCTGAGTGGCCCTCAAACCCCGTAGTTGATAAATGGGATCCTGAGACAGGACCTCAAAGATTAGCATGCCCTGTACTTGAACAGGCAGGAGGGCAGTGAATTCACCGTGCTTTAGATTTTAAAACAGTGAAGCAGTTAAAGGAGGCTGTAACAACCTATGGTCCCCAAGCTCCCTTCACGGTAAGCATGGTCGAGTCCATTACTAACTTGGACATGACGCCAGCAGATTGGGCTAGCATGTGTAAATCTGTACTAAATGGAGGACAATATTTGTTATGGAAGGTTGCCAATGAGGAATTTTGCGTGGAGACAGCTAGGCGAAATGCAGCAGCCGGTTACCCTCAAAGAAATCTAGATATGTTGTTAGGAAAAGGACCTTATGAGGGTCAACAGCAACAAATTGAATATGATCCTGCTATATATGCACAAATTGCTGCAGACGCAGTTAGGGCATGGAAGACTTTACAAGGACATGGAGATTTACAAGGTCAGCTATCTAAGGTAATACAGAGAGCTAATGAACCTTACGCTGACTTTGTAGATAGGCTAATTCAAACGGCTGCCAAAATTTTTGGGGATACAGAACAAGCAATGCCATTAATAAAACAACTGGCTTATGACCAAGCAAATCGTTGCTGCAGAGAGGTTATTAGACCATGAAGACATGAAGATTTAAACACATATATTAAATTATGTAGAGATATTAATAAACAAGGGCAAGTCTTGGCAGCTGCAGTACAACAGGCTTTAGATGCCAGGCCAAAAACATGCTATGATTGTGAACAAACAGGACATTTTAAAAGGAATTGCCCCATAGGAGGAGGGTTTAACAAAAGTAGGT